CTCTCTGTGTCTGTCTGGCGAGCGCACATGCCCTCTAGCAAAAAAATCCTCTCCAAAAAAAAAAAAAAAGCTTTTTATAAAGAATTATTTTATTTAACTTTATTTATTTATTTATATTTTAATTTGACCAGGGGGGAGGGAGTGAGAGAGAGCGAGAGAGAGAGAGAGAAAAAGAGAGAGAGAGAGCGAGCTAGCTACCCACCCACCAGGTCCAGGACTTGAACTGCGGTTGGCCATGTGGTATTCCAGCATCCTCGACCACCATGCCACTTGCCAGCCCCCAGAATCTTCTTTCTTTTTGAGAAGACTCCTCTAACCCCATAGTCAGAGATTCTGGGTGACAACAGCAATTGTAACTTGTTCAGCTATAATTGCTCTGTCATTGAAACAGACACAGTGACATTGGAAGACTCCTCCACTGTATTGCTTCCCAGTTTAAGACAGGTAGTACCCCATGATGGCAAAGGAGTCCAGCAGGCCTGCAGAAGACACATCTGCCACTTACAATGTAAAATGACAGGTGCTGGGCCAGCAGGTGGTGTGGAGGTTAAGGTGGCTGTATCCCATATGGCAAACTGCATGGTTCAAGTCCTGGACCAGGTGTGTGTGTGTGTGCATGCCCCAAATCCTGAGAGGTGAATGAAAAAGAAGGGATTGCAGCATGGCCATTCCCAAGGGAGGTTGTGATTTTTTTCTTCCTGTCCATCTTTTTCTGTCTCCAGTGACTGCACATGTCCTATAGCAAACAAACAAAACAGGTAGTATTATTAGATTACCATACATACATTGTCTAAAATGTAAAGAAATTATACCCAGAAATGAGAAATTTTCACCTCAATTATTACATTGACAATAGAATACTTTTCCTCAGAGGCCAGATATCATTTTGTTCACATAAATTATGAAGGGAAACAGAGGAAAGACCACCTTTTATAAACACAAGGTGTTTTATTTTTTTAATTGATAATTATGGCAGTATTGGCCACTGCCCATAATACAAGGCGTGGTTCAAAACCTGTTTGAATTAAGAAATTCAGGGGCCAGCAGATGGTGTAGTGGTTACGTCACTGGACTCCCACATGGCAGACTGCGGTTCGGGTCTGGATCTGGTGGCTTCAAAATCAGGCCAGCACGAGTGCATGCACGCCCAAGATCCTGGGAGAATAAAGAAGGGATTGCAGTGTGGCTATCTCCCCCAGGGAAGATTTCACACTTTCTTTCTCGCTGTCTCTGTCTGGCTTTCCAGATAATGCATGCTCTCTAAGGCACACACCTGGTGAAAGACAGGAAGGGAGGAAGGGAGGAGAGGAGAGGAAAGGAAAAAAGAAAGGAAGAAAAGAAAGAAAAGGAAGACAGGAAGGCAGGAAAGGAATTAGTTCAGTGTAACAACAGTGTGTTTAAAAAGTTATCAGCTCCCTATGGGTCCAGCTGTTGTTTTCAGTGCTGCTGTGGTTAATGTAGCGAAGTTAAGTTGGTAAACACCCATGTTATTCTCTGGTCAGGACATAAGTACTAGTAGAAGAATGCAGGTGACTTGATTGGACACTTAAAAACCAAAAACCCCAGGAAGCAGAAATGTATTGTGGTGGGACCAGAAAGATGAAAGCTTAGCTTTCTCTTTCTTTCCTTTCTTTCTTTCTTTCTTTTTTTTTTTTTTTTTAATCTTTAGCTGTTTCACTTTCTATAGCCTTCATGATTGAAAAATGTTGTTGGTCATTTTCAACTTGTGGTCGGGCAGCCGGAACCACAGAACAGGAACTCCACTGGAACAGGAATTAGCGGCAAAGAGCTTCTTGTTGGGCTTCCTTGCTTTTTAATTCATTGGTATTGTATGTGTAGTCAGCCTTAAAGGTACATACGGTCACTATATTTACCTAACTGCTCTTTTTTTTATATACTCAATTTCCAATGATCGCTGCTGACCTTCGGCGTAGTGGAGAAAGCCCGTATTTGTCATGGGTCTCAGCTTGCTCTGAGGATGCTCTCTAAGTTGATTCCTTCCTTTAGACAGGTATTTCTTGGCTCGAAGGCAGTTTTGTCATCTTACACCACGATATTATTGACTGTCTCACAGGTTTGTGATCACATGTTCTAAGTCAGGTATAGAAAGTGTGTATTTTGGTGATAACTATTATCTTAATGATAATGAAAGTGGTTCTCTTTCTTTTTTTCTTCTTTCTTTCTTTCTTTTTTTTTTTTTTTTGAGTTTTGTCATAGGGAATGTGCACTGTCCAGAAAGAGGCAGAGAGAAAGAGTGAGAAGAGATCTCGAAAATGAAAATGAGAAATCACCCTCCACAGGGTATGGCCACACCCCTGCGATTCTTTCACCTTCAGTCTTCTTTTGGGACTTGGGGCATGCGCACATACACGTGCCCGTGTTTTTTTGTTTGTTTGTTTTATTTTTCCTGGAGAGGTTTTTGTTATAGGGCGCATGCGCTCTCCAGAAAGAGAGAGAGGCAGAGCTATAGAAGTCAATCCCCAGGGGGAATGGCTACACCGCAGTCCCCTCTCCTCTTTTCTCCTCTCAGGATCTTGGGCACACATGCCCGGTGTGAGTTTAAGCCACCGGGTCTGGGACTCGAACCACGGCCAACTACATGCGAGTTCAGCGACATAGCCATGACGCTATAACTGTTGGTCCCTGCCCCGTGTGTTTTTTTTCTTTTTTTTTTATATTTACACACATATTTACTTTTTTTTTTAATCTTTTTTTTTTTCCCTTGGTTTTTGCCATAGGACACATGTGCTTGTCAGAGAGAAACAGAGAGAGGGAAAATAAGAAAGCAACCCCTATGGGCTATGGCCATGCTGCAGTCTCTTCTTCATGCTCCTCTTGAGATTTTGGGCATGTATGCACACGCACCCAGCATGATTTTTAAGCCAGGCCCAGGATTCAGATTGCAGTTGGCCATGTGGGCATTCAGCACTTTATGGTCCTCATTTTTTTCTTTTAATGAGAGAGAGGCTTTTTTTTTTTTCTTTTTTTGGAGAGGTTTTGCTATAGGGCGCGTGTACTCGTGTGCTCGCCAGACAGACAGAAAGCGAGAAATCACCCCCCAGAGGGGATGGTTACGCCGCAATCCCTTCTCCTCCATTCTCCTCTCGAGATCTTGGGCACGCACCCACCCCACCCCCCACCTCCCCCATGTGTTTTTCAAGACGTCTGGTCCAGGACTCAAACAGCCCAGTCAGCCATGAGGGATCCTAGGCTTTAATCACCATGCCACTTGCTGGCCCAATGACAGCTGTTTTCTATCATGTCCTCACCTGTTCCATTGTTTTTCTAATTTTTTAATCCCCCTGCCCTTTTCCTAAATCGGTGTCATCAGCTAACCTTTATGGAGTGGCTACCATGCATCAGGACACTGTAGTAAGGACTTGATGTAAATTGTCTAATTCTTTCCCAGAAACTATGAGACAGCTGTTATCAATATTCTAATCGCTATTTCTTAAAGCGAAAGTTGCAATTCAAAGAGATTAAGTGAACTCGCCCATTTCCACAATTAGTCGCTCAGCCAGGATTTAATCTAAAGTCTTTCTGACTCCAAAACTGGAGCTCTTAATCACCAATTACACCAATTAAACTCTCAGGTTCACAGGCCGCTCAGTCCCAGAATAACCTGTAGAAGGCCTGATCCACCACATCCAGTGTTCCTTGTGGCTTTCATTGTCGAAACCGGTTTTTTTTTGTTTTTTTTAGGGGGTGAGTGGGTAAATCCCAGACTTCCCTGAAATCAGGGATTATATTTTACAAATCCCCTCCTAATCCCCCCAACGCCTAGCAGAGGGCCGAGTCAGCACTCCGTGGACTTGAGCTCTTTACTCTTTAGTAGATGGGAAAAGAAACCAACCAGACAGTGAAATAGAGCAAACAAAAATGTAATAGAACATTATAGCAGGAAGAGGGAGGAGGGGAAAAAAAATGCAAGGGGAAAGGAACAGAAAGCAAATATTTGCTGAGCACCTCAGGGCCCATAATTGCACAAAAGTCTTTAAAAAAAAAAACTGGGGGTTAAGAATTTTTTTTAATAGAGATTTTTTGCTACAGGGCACATGGGAGAGACAGAAAAGACTGAAAGCAAGAAATCACCTCCCAGGGAGGATGGCCATGTCCCAATCCCTTCTCCATTCGCCTGTCAAATTTGGACACACACACACACACACACCCCACCAGGAGTGTGTTTCAAGCCTCCAGTCAGTTACTGGAACTGAGGTTGACCATGTGGGAGTCCAGCCACTGTAACCATTATACCACCTGCTGGTCCTATATTTATTTAATTTTATGCATTTTTTCATTTGAGACATAGAAGGAAAGGGAGGAAGCAAGCTGCCAGGTCCAGGACTCGAACTGCAGTAGGCCATGCGGGAGTCCAGCACCTTAGCCACCAGGCCACCTGCCAGCCCCAACAACGCATCTTTAAGGGTCTGACCCAGTAGTGGAGCAGCTCGCTAGGCACACAGGTCCCGCCTGATCTTCGTAAATGAGGAACGGAAGCTCCGATTACAGAGTTCTCTGCACCTGGGCCGCCCTCCGCCCGCGATCGCGCGCACGTGGCGCAAGTTTTATAGATTGCCTAGCACGTGTACCTCGTCCCAGGGTCAGGGCGCTTAAAAAGGAAAGCGGCTCTTCGCCCAGAGCTACTTTAAGGACGCGCGGTAGCTCCTCCGAGTGCCAGCAAAGACGAGCTATTAAGAATTGACAAGCTGCTCTTTCCTTACTTCGGACTTTTCAGGCACAGCTTGCACCCCTGCTAAACGACTCAGATGAACGAGTACGACTAATCTCCTTGCCCAGCCAGCGTCCAGGTCTCGCTCCGGCGCTTTTCTTGCAACACCGGGCGGCGGAGATACCCGCGCCCGGCTTTGGAGGTGGCTCAAAGGTGACGCGCGGCCGCCTCCTCCCCTTTAAGGCGGGGCTCGTAAAGGGGTGCTGAGGAAGTCCGGCGGCCCTCGGCTATGCCCCCGCCCCCCCCCGCCACGGCCTGTAAGTCGCCGCCGCGTCAGGGCTTCTCCCCAGGCTGGTGAGCGGTGACGACGGAGGCGCCAGGCCTGGCACAGGTGAGGGGCGCGCGCCGGCCCCGCGGTGCAGCTCCAGGGACCAGGCTTCCAGACAGGTGAGAGCGATGCGGGGCTCACCTGGGGCAGGGCGGGGGCCGGGCAGCAGGGTCGCCGCCCACCCTTCTTGGCAGTAAGCGGGTGACTGTTCTCAATCGCTCTGGGGTGTTGGGGACCTTCAGGGTCCAGGGTGGAAATCCATGGAGTTTCTTCCCTGGATTTCTTGGATCAGGGGTGAGAAAGGTGTCCAGAGGACCGGAGGCAGGAATCCGACGCGTGGAAACCCGGGAAGGCAGCCGGCCCCAGAACTTTTTGTTTTTCGTTTTCGTTTTTAAAAGCCATATTCCAGTCTCCCTGGGGCTCCATGCCTGGATTCTGTCTGCAGAGGTGGGTTCCTCACCTGGGTTGACTTGATTGCTCTCTTCATGAAGACCCAGAGATTCAGCTCTACTTGTTTGCGTCCACATCTGCTTGGCTACACACCCCCAGGAAGCCTTAGGGTAATTGCAAGGGTTTCAGAGTGTCTTAAACAGAACAAAAGACGGGGATGGTGGTGGTCAACTTGAGAGGCGATTATTTCCTCCATCGGCTCCCCTGCCTACTGTCGATTTGTTAAGCAAATCCTGCGCAGATGGCTTTAAAACAGATTGTTTCCATACAATCAGCTTCCTCTGGTTTGCATGAACTTCTGGGTTGTCCAACCGTTTCAGTGGTGTGTGTGTGTGTGTGTGTGCTTAGGGGAGGGAGTCCTGGGAGATGCAAGCTTTCTCCGCAGGGTGCCCTAGCTTGGGTTCACAGGTACCAGACAGTTGAGATAACCTTGGATTTTACCTGCTCTGAGGATACACGCAATCCTCTCACCATTTAGTGAGGGTTTCTGTGGCTTGTACTTTCCATTGTGTTCATTTTTGCTTGAGTCAGGGCTCTGTAGTTCAACAATATTTGTAGTACGCCTGCTAGGGACCAAGCTTTGCCAGAACCAGGTTCATGAGCACTTTGGTAGCTTAGGTGTTGATGGCCAAGGGCAATTTCGAGGCATGTATTCCTCTCAAGTGGGTGTTTTAGAAAGGGACTAATGGAGAGGCCTGTTGTTCTTCAGCCGTGCTTCGGCTGCACCTCTTGAACCGCTGATGATCCTTTCAATGCAGGCAGAACTTAGGTCTTCTGTTAGTAGCCTAATCAGTCATCGAAAGGGACAAGAATGGATCAGAACCATCCTTAAAATAAGATGAAGAAATCAGCCATGTGTGGAGCCATCAGGTGCTGTGGCTCTGGGTCCCACATAGGCAACTGCACAGTTCAAGTCCCAGACCCGGCAGCTTTGTAATCATGCTGGGCACATGTGTGCATGCTTTAAATCCCGAAAGGAGAATGGAGGAGAAGGGATTGTGGTGTGGCCATTTCCCCAGGAGGTGATTTCTCGCTTTCTCTCTCTGTCTTGCATGCATCACACAGCAAGACAAACTCTATACCAAGCACTATGATCGGCAGTTTCTCTCATGTAAAATGTGCCAAGTAGATATTACCCCCATATAACGATGAAAAACTGAGGCAGGGAGGAATCTCCCCCTTTGTACGAGGTAAACGAATAGAAATTGCATGTGGTTATTTCTGATTGCAGAACTCATGTTTTGTGTTTTGTTTTGCTATCGCATGCTGTCACAAGGAGAGATTGTGTAAATCGGGTGGATTTCATGGAAATAAGAATTCAAGTTTATATCCATAAAACCCACATCCTGGGGATTGGAGGGGGATGTCCTGATAAATAAAGTGAGCTGTTTTCATTGCACTCATGTGGTTAACTACAACATTCCCAGAGCACGTAGATGACTAGCTGTTTTTAAAAAGTAAAAACACAATACTTTGAGGAATCATTTCTGTAGTCCATAAAAAGGTGAAATTTATTATGTGTTTTGCTTAACATTTTAAGGACTTAATATATCCAAATGGGGCCAATGATTAAAACTTTATGTGTGTTCTGTTACTCGTTGAAGGAACAGTGAATCTCATTCATGTTTTGACATATTTTGTTTGCTTTCTTTCCACGGCCATGAGATGACTGGAGGCCACTGTTGTCACCTAGAAAGGACTTTGTGTATGAATCTATATTCATACCTGAATATGTGTAATCCCTAAAAGACCATCTATTTTTCCTTAAGCCTATTTTGGGAAGTACAAAACATTGGAGTGTGCTGATTTGGCAAGGAATGCCAAAGTTTCTAACTTGACTTTGAATAAATGAACCATAAGAACTCAACTGACAATTGAAGTGCACGTAAAGTGATTTTTCAGATGAAAATTACCGTGTTGATAATGAGATGCAAATAGAGCTGACAATTTAAAATAACATCTTCTGTCATAGAGAACACTCACTTTCTTAAAACCTTCCTTAGAGTTGTTGGTAATTATACACACAAATGGAATGGCTTCACACTTCAGTTACATTGAGATGTTGCCAGTTAATTGTTGAAGAAAGACTGGTGTCTGTGTTAGGATCAGGTGGCGAATTTTTCCCAGATCATGCTTAACACGAATGTTTTCCTCTATCTTCATTTGGCAGTGAAGTTGACAAAACACCTTGAACTGTAAAGGAATATTTCCAGATCCTCCCTAGGAGATATTTATAAACTGCTTGATTTGAAGTGGAGTCTGTAGAAAGGGGTGCAAGGCAGGGGAGGATTCAGAATTTGCGAAGCCCGAAAGGTAAACAATCTGGGGGCCCTCTTTAAGATCATTAATAGACGCTTAGGAGTGAACATGAATATTTATTTAAAAATGAGAAAAAGAAATAGTGCTTTGCTGGGAATTTGTCTCTTTCTGCTCAGATCTTCTTGGGCAATTTACCAGAAATGTTTACGTAAACATGCTTCCTGATTGCAGCTTGCCTGCTTTGCTCCCTGACAACACTTGGCATCTTCCAGCAGTTTCATGGCACCCATGGGGGCCCATGCTGGTGACAGGCCTGAGGCTGAAACTTCATTACCTTTGCAAAGCACTCGCGGTCTATGAAGCAGAGAAGAGACTCCTTGATGGCATGGCTGACCTCCAGCTCATCAGGGACTCTAGGCACTCATGTTCAGTGAAGAGTTCTGAGAGCTGGTATACAAGGCCCCTCAGGTTGGTTGCTTTCCCCAGAGAAGCCCTTGACCATTGCTCCCCCAACTTTTGTCCAGTCTTCATTTACTGAGAGATTTCTGATGTCCCAGACCTTGAGTAAGGTGGGATCCTGATTGCCACGAGCTCTTAGTCTCATGTAGCAATTTCATTCATCACAATATGTTGTTGTAGGTGCCCATCTAAGGTACCATGGGAGCCCTACTGATGGCTTAATCTGGGGCCATGGTGGAGTTACTGAAATAAAGGAGTTCCGGAAAGGCGTTCTAGGTGGGCAGGGAGTTGGAAAGCCCAGCTGGTTCCGACACACACATTATCCACTGATGTGGAGGTGCTCCTTAGTGTTGCTCAGTATGCCTTTCCAGACCAGAAGCACCCACACACCTGAGATGAACTTGGTTGAAATGCTTGCTGTCAGGCCCCACCCCATCTAAAGCTGTGCATCTAGACCATGGGTGTGTGTGTGTGTGTGTGTTTTAATTTTCTCTAGGGGAGACAGACAGGCACCCAAGCAGTCTTCAGACAACAGTCTACTCTTAGTCTTCACCAGCCTAGGTCATGCGTATGCATGTGGACACCCAGTGTGCCCTAGGAGATCCTAGGATGCAAACCCAAGATTTTTCTTACATGATTCCAGTTTTGTTACTGCCACACCACTGCCTAACCCTAACACCTTTTTAAAAGAAGACTTCCAGATAAGGGGCAGCAAATGACAAGGTGGTTAAGGCACTAAACTGGGATGTGGCCAACCACGGTTCAAAAAATAATGCTAGATGCATGTGCGCCCGAAGTCCCAAGAGGAGAATGAGAGGGAAGGGATTGCAGCATGGCCAGCACCACCCTGGGGGGTGCTTTCTCAGTTTCCCTCTCTCCCATTCTCTGTCTCTCTCTCTGGCAAGCACACATGCACCTTATGCCAAAAACTTTAAAAAAAAAATTTTTCCAGATTATTATGGTGAGTATTGAAGTTGAGAACTACTGCTCTTAATAATTGAGAGAACTGGGACCAGCAGTTGGCGTAATGGCTATGTCGCTGGACTCCCATGTAGTCGACTGCAGTTAGAGTCCTGGACCCGGTGGCTTAAACTCACACTGGGGGCGTGTGTGCCCAGGATCCCCAGAGGAGAATGGAGGAGAAGGGATTACAGCATGGTCATCCCTCCTGGGGGGTGATTTCTCACTTTCTGTCTCTGTCTCTCTCTGTCTTTCTGGTGAGTGCATGTAGCCTATAGCTAAAACCTCTCCAAAAAAATGGTTGCAAGGACTATTTGGTCATCACAAAAGCCTTAATATGTTTTACTGTGCAAAATGCGTCATGATTTTCCCAATGACCCAATAGCAGGGCATGGAATTCCTTGTGGAGCTTGAAGGGGAGTGGAGTTTACACCGATAATAGTTCATCATTGTAATGTAATCTTAATTTGCATTACTATCACTAATGTCTATTGAGCATTCAGGTTGCACCAGGCATTGTGCTAAGAAATATTAACTCTCGGAGACATTACTACAACCCCAAGATGAGCCAGGGCTATTAGCACCTTGATTTAGATGTGAGGAAATTGAGGTCTAGAGAGAGAGAGAGAGAGAGGATACTGCTCATAGTCACACAACTGAAAAGTGGCTCAGTCAGGATTGAAGTGTGGGCAATCTGGTTCCAGAACCTTCTTCTTTTTTAAATTAAATTTTATTTTTTTAACTCGCCTGAGAGAGTTTACATTGATGCCACTGTCGTGTGTGGGTATTGGGTGAGAAGTCTTCATGGTGAGTTTGAGAGTGCTTGAAATGTATCTCTTGAACGATTCTAGTCATTTGCTGACCACTGGAGTTACCAAGTCTTTCTTCAGACAAATACCCCATTAAGAAGGAGGAATGTTTTTCAGTCCTAGTGCAAATTTTTAAAATTCTGTGAGTGAATGAACATAATGGTTTAACATGGAAGAGCCCC